AGAAATAGTTATATGAGTTTACCAATGTTTACCAGATGGTATTTTGAAACTATACCATAACTGTGGCCGGCTCGCTGTATCACCCTCAGTGATGGTGAAGAACAACCGCACTGGGGCATGGCCACCGTTGATAAGTTCCCATATCTTGGTTAAACTACCAGAGGGTATACCAGATTATAACATGTCCATTGTGAAACCTGACAACTAGATAAGGATGGTTTCTCTTGATAACGAATGGTTAACATATTACAGCAGCAGGATGATAAACTTCTGTAATGTGGTAAGCCCAATGCCATGAACCATCCCGTTCACCAACCTTGATCCCATCATTGGGGATGTTTGACTTACATTTTGCACAAGGATTACTTTAGAACCACTACTATAATCCATTAGTGATCAATGACACACATTTCTATTGAGGATTGTGGATCAACAACTTATATCCATCTTATAAACTCCTAGTACATCCAAACATTTCCCTAGATTGGAACAGTTACCTTATGTGCAAATCCATGGTTTCCTAAGGACCGTTGACCCATCAAACTCCTACGGGCCTTCGTTCTGAACGTCGATACACGGCCGTCGCCAGGACAGCCTTGCCCAGCGGATCCATGTCGATGCTGAGGCCGATGTCCGATGACAAAATTACGGACAAAAAGGGGTCATGGACTTGGTTAACTAAAGTTACCCGGCCTGGAAAACATACAAAAAACTATGGAAAATGGTGGGAAAATGGTGGTTTAGTGGTGGTTTAATGGAAGTTACCCTCTGGTATACGAACATAACTATGGAAAGATCCACCATTTTATAGCTGGGTACATCAACTATTTCGACTGGGCCATTTTCTATGTCGCAAACTGTTAGTTTACCAGAGGGCAACTAGTTAGGTAACAATGGATGATCATTGGAAGGTATCTAAACTATAATTGGGAGCCATTGCCATGTTTGATTACTCTAGAGGCTTTCTACATTAGAACACCTATTTTGGGATGGTCAAAGACTTATTCAATAAATAACCCCCAATCCCTAATCATCTACCATCTACCCTAGCAACGGAAAAGGCCCCATTGAATATCCATATTAATATGGATGGGTGTCACATTACCAAAATCGAGGTTTTTCCATCGACGGATTTTCTCAACTCTGAGGTGTTTTTTCATAAGGTACAGTGCCCTGTCCCCAAACAAAGCCTCTTGAGCATTTCATAGCAATTCCATGCATTTCCTAAATTTCGGGACTACATCATGGGATTCCCCACTAACCATGTCCAATTGTTGTAGAGAAATTTATGTTCCAATGCTTTTTTCGAAACCACTTGGCGCCATATCCCCATTGTTTGACGGCTGTCAGGTCCGGGCATCTCTTTTGGAAATGTACCGATTTGATTGCCCTTCAGCTGCAGAATCAGATGGCATGTGAGAACCACCAATCTGACTATGCGGGCCACCCAAACCATAGGCAATTGTTTGACATCACTAGGTTTACAGGTTTATAATCACATTTCAATGGTTTCAGGTGGACAGAGTATGTATATATATATATATATTTGATTATGATTATGTATATATATATATTATAACTATATAATATCTACTGTTGGATGGGTTAACCAAAGCATATTTTTCAATGTCGGTAGGCTACACCAAAATTGTGGCAAAAAACAGATTTGGCATGAAAAAGAGGCCACGGACCTGGCACCGAAATCTTGATCCTTTGGAGCTGAATCTAGGATCAGGGTAATGGATACCCTCTGGTTATGTCAAAATAGCTATTGAAAATGGTGATTTGTAGTGGATTTATCCATTAAACATGGTGATTTTCCATAGTTATGTAAACGTTTACCAGAGGGTAATGGCACTGTGTTTTTGACATGACAGTGAAAAGGGTGTGGACGCAACTTGACTCAGCTGAAAGCTCAGTGTCAAAATCCTGGTGGCCTTGTGTCACCCTAATATTTTTTTGCTGGTGGGTGGTTTCAAACTTATTTTCCATAAATATATGGGATAATCCTTCCCATTGACTTTCATATTTTTCAAGATGGTCAAAACCACCAACCAGCTAATCATTTTTTGCTACCAACAAGTTGAAGGATCAGAAGACACGAAGGTCTTGGCTCAGGTTCAACTTTGCATCTACGGATCCTTGGACGTTTTACCCTTCCTGGCCCAGCTCTCAGGATGTTTATCAACCTGCCATGATCGAAGTGATAAGCGACATTGAAAGAAGTATCCAATGTCATCAAACTGGCATGCTGGAAAATGTCTCATTTATAGATGATGTTCATTTTTTTCCCCAGCTATAAACCGCCCTTTTTTAGGGGATGGTCAATTGCCACGGTTGATTACCGGGGGGTATATCTATAAGACTACGAAACCTCAGGTCAGTGCTTTTGCCTCGATTTTTCCCACTAGACTTTACTGGTAACGCACAGATTGTTAAGTGCTTCGTGACATCCCTCAGTGCTGAGCTCAGTGATCCCAATATGAATATTTGGAAGTTCCCTCAGTATGCAACCAGGGAAAAACACACATACATCTGCAATAAGAGTAGTTTTGAGTATGCTTCAACCTCCACCATGAAACCCCCCCAACATCAACATCCAACGTTCCCAAGAAAAAGGTGGCTTTGGCGACCGGGCGCCCGTCCGATTGGTTGGTGCGGAGCCTGGCCGAACAAAATCCATGGATGGTGTCTAAAAGACGATTGTGAAATGGGAAGCTTTCGAAAAGTGAAAAACAAAAGTCACTCTTCCGTTTAACATGTCAGGTTTGTGAAACATGATGAAAGGAAAAAACAAAATGATTATCCGCGATGAAACCTACTTATAACTTACAACATAATAACTTATTAAACGGATACAGTAACAATAAGTCAGACCCAGCAACCATTGGACTTTTTTTTAATGATTGTTTCAGCGGAAGTATCATATGTGGACATAATAGACATGATTATGATCATTACACGTATAGTGATCGTTGGCACAAAATGATGATAAGATGATAATGATAAGCAAAGGGTTGGTGAGGTTGGAGAAGAATGATACATCACAATGATTCTTGATGTATTCTGAATCATTCAGCAGATCAGATATTAGTTTATGTATCAACTACTATAATGACTATGATCATTACTGGTTGGTGGTTTGGAACATTTTTTATTTTTCCATATATTGGGAATGTCATCATCCCAACTGACGAACTCCATCATTTTTCAGAGGGGTAGGTATACCACCAAGCAGATTAAATATGATTAAATCAGTTAAACTATGATATTAGTTTATGTATCAACTACTATGACTATGATGATCATTAAATATGATTAAATCATATTAATCATAGTTAAACTATTCATATCCGCTGAACTGAATGATTGTGGATTTTTCTGATCGACTCAACGGATTGGACTGCGAACCGAGTGAATTTCGCATCGCTTTAAAAGGCAGACTTTCAACCCAATGAAAACCGAATTGTGTCTGGTTGGTTTCCCTATGAAAAAAATCCTACCTTATATCATTTATATCGTTGATATCATTTATATCATTTATATCATTGATACCCCATAGAATTCCCATAGAATTCCCATATTGTCACCATTTTTTACCCAGAAAAACATCATCACCGTTGGAGCGTTGGAGATCCCCGGCCAAGACGCCGAGACCTGTGTGGCCTGGGCGTCCTTCGGTCAAATGGCCATCTTTTGGCTCTTGGTGCGGGAGATCCAGGGGAGGGGCGAATCATTTTACAAAGTGTGGAGATCTATGGGTTTTTCAGGGATGTTTGAAGATATTTATGAGATATTTATGAGATATTTATGAAGATATTTATGAGATATTTATGAGTTTTTTCAGGGATGTTTGAAGATATGGGTGTGTCTGAAAATGTCGTGTACCCCTAAACCCAATGATCCCAATGGTTTTGCTGATCATTATCCCGTTTTTAAATGGGTATAATTGGGAATATACCCTATTTTCAGACAAACCCATATTTATGAGATATTTATGAGATATTTATGAAGATCGTTGAAGATGATGGAAACCTTGGGCATTCTTTGAACCTTGGAGACTTAGACATGTACAGGATAGTTTTTTTGGTGAATGGGAGGCGGACATGTTTTTTTTGGGACTCATTTTTGCATGGTGGAATGGAATGCCCAGCCAAAAACCATGTGATTCGGCATGTGCAATTTCTCCTGGGGGCAGAAAAAAAAAGTTCCTTGGAATATGAATCTAGATTAACTTGGTACCGAAATGATGGATTCTCAGTGATTTTTTCTTAGTTGGACAACATTTGGGGAGATGGGTCATGACGGGGATGGGATGGTTTGTGTTTTTTTTCAATGTCAACTCGTTGGCGGTTCGGCAGCAAAAAGGAACTATGATTGTATCCATATAAATCATCATAAATCCCCATAAAACATAGGGAACCGTCAAGGAAGAGCTAGGACAGCTAGGATTTTTTTCGTTTCCCACATGGTTTCGTCAAAGAACCGGGGTGTGTTGTTTGGGCCGAAAATAAAATCTGGATGATCCCGTGGACACCTTCTACAGATGGGTTTGTCTGAAGATATCCCAAGATCCAATGGTTTATCGGAGTTCATCATCCATTTTCCATTTTCCATTTGGTTATGACTAACATAGCCATGGTATAGATGGCCCATAGAAATAGATGGTTTACCGAACTTAAAAATTGGTGGATCTTTCCATGGCTATGTAACAAATAACCAGATGGAAAATGCTAATGACATGGGGTACAATCTATTTTCAGACAACCCAGATGACTGGGGTCAGGAAAGTCTCAGTCAAAAAAAAACGGCTCCAAATGTGCCGCGGTTTGGGCTCCATGGACCAACGATTTCAGCGAAAGTTGAATGGTCACTGACAAGACGATTTGAAGCAAACAGACAATCAATTTACTACCAAAGACATCAAACCAAAAAGAGCAACACTATGGACACAAAAGTATTTTTTTCCATCTTCATCACTTCCGATTTTCCGTCTGCATAGCGCGGAACCGTAGCTCGGAACCGGGGACGCTAACATCGCAAAGATGTTGTCCGTCACGACGCTGAAAAACTCGGCGATGAAAGTTCGGGCAGTGTGGCACACGTGGCTTGGACCAGGACGGGAAGTTTGTGATGGATAGGACGTGGATGGTATCCCCCATCCAATCATCTTCCAATATCCGGAATGATGTTGTGGTTATTTAATTTTTTATTTATCCATATGTTTATCCGAATATTTATCCTAAATGCATTTTAATCTTTTAATATCTTATAATTACTTCAGAGTAGTGAAGCGTTCTGATTTATCCTATGGCTATGGTATGATTTTGAAGATTTAAGACCCTGGGGACCGGATGGACTGCTTGTTGTTTTTTTTGTTATCTCATGGAATATATATAAAATACCATCTGGTTATTTAACATAGCCATGGAAAGATCCGCCATGCTATTAATAGGTAAGCCATCTATTTCTGTGGGCCACGGCTTCCATGGCTATGTTAAATAACCAGAGGGTGTATATATATATATATATAAATTATTAGAGTCCCAGGCTGGACAAGGGCTTTTGAAGCTGAGATTCAAGTAATCAAGAGACCATTGCTGTTATTGTAAGCTTCAATTGACGTTTTTTTTCCCGATGATGCTTACGGGGAAAAGTCAACGCACTGTGCTTCCGTCATGAATATTTGAATGTCACATTGGTCATCCCTAGGCGCTGGAAATCATTGCACATCCATATCTGATTTCGCAGGGGAAGATGTGCATGTCTCATCCTGTCTCATTTCTTCTTGTTCATACCCTCTGGTAATTTAACATAACTATGGAGAATCACCATGTTCAATGGGAAAATCCACTATAAATGGTCATTTTCAATAGCTATTTTGACATAACCAGAGGGTACATCATTTGAAGGGATTTATATGGCTGCCTTGAAGCTGGATAAGACTGGGCTAAAGGTGGGTTCACTTCCGCTCTCGGTACCTTGGTGCCTGGAAACAATTTTTGTGTGATGCCCAAACTTGAGCCGTTTTTTTGTTGCCCAGATGAATGATGTGATGGTTTGGAATTGTTTGTGATTTCCATCTGGCAAATCAGAGAAATGATCTTCTTAGATAATCTGGACATGATTTCAAGTATCTGGAAAATATTAAATATTTGACATATTCCACAAGAATTTTCCCCAGAATTATCTGCATAGTAACCCCAGAAAAGTTAGAAATTTATAACTCTTTCAGAAGAAAGTGCGACTCTTTTCCTAGGATTTTGGTCGGATTTGACTCATCTTCGCCAGGTTTTACTCATTTTGTTGGGCTTTCTGGTCCGAACAAAAAGGTCCCGTGAACGGCACGACCCATCCGGACGTTCGAAATGGCCGAGGCCATGGTTCCTGGGCGTGGTGCTGCTTGTGGTGGGTTCCCTTGGACTACTCAGCAGCTTGGACCAAAAATTTGCAGAAAATCTGGCAGAGATCATCTAAGGATTTGCAGGTTTTCATTTTAGATATCATTATAGATAATAATATTATTAAACATGAAACATAATAGATTCTATTACAGTAGATAATTAAATTAATGATTATATAGATTTGCGTTTAAATCATGTTAATAGATATTTAAAATGATTATTGGATATTAGATATTAGTTTATTATTATTTGTAGATTTTAGTTGATCTATTTCTAGATATTTAATACTGATCATTTTAGACTCCAAATTTTAGTCAACTATCAATGATGGTCTATCATTATAGATGATTTGTAGATCATCAATATCTCTAGCTGATCATAGCTGATCTATTGTATCTGACCAGTATGGCTTACACTTGGTGTTTCTCAAAGTGACCACATTTTCTGGCAAATACACATCGCTTGAACCATTTTCTGACAGAAAAACACATTCAACATATCCCTCGAAGCATATTTACATATTTAGCAAATCACAGTTGAATAATTTGATGATATCAAATCTTGATATCAAAATAAGAACATACAACAGTTGATATCATGATAAATCACATGATGAGAGCAATATTATATTATCAAATCGCATTTGATCTTACAGTAATTGCTCCATTTGGACTTTAGAGCAATGTACTGTATCCCATGATCTTGCTGTCTTTTTCTGTTGCTGCAGGTTCAAAATCCGGTTAGATGGCTGGCAATCGGCACTGTTTTCTTGTGCTTTGCTAGACATTTGCGTAGTGACTTATAGCTGAGTTATAAGTATACATATCTAAATTCATATCTGTGGAATATCTAGCAGCTTATCATGTGTGTATAGAATGTATGTACAGATAATTATATTTATGTATATTGATATGGCTCAACACTATTGCCCCAAAAGATGGGCATGTCGCAGGCGGTTGCAGGGGTCATATCCACAGTTATCGTGTAGCCACTTGGAACCCCAACTGCACATCCAAGTACCCTATCATACATGATCTTACATATCAACAGAACTTATTGTGTATATATATATACATATGTACATGTATATACATATTATATATATATATACACATAATTATCTATATACACAATATACATATATATATACAGACATATATATATATACACATATGTTATACACAATATATACCAATTAATATCTATATGTCATTCACACCTATACACATACATAAAGACGGGCACCTCAGGACAGTTGATTCGGCTTCTGATGATCATTCCCGTGGAGGTTCACTGGGTCCACAGATGTCCACAGCGCCATGAAGATCGCCATGTGCTGTGGTTATCATGGGGTTTTGTAATCTATATGGAATACATATATATATATATGCATATATATATTATAATACATACATATATATATATATAAATATAAATACACACTAAATATACACTACATATATATATATATGCATAAATATATATAGTATACCATTATGGTTTTACCGCGGTTAGTTGATGATGATGGTACGCAATCTATCTAATACGGGATGATGATATTTGTGTTTTTGTTGGATGATCATCATCTATAAAATCTATAAAAAGAAACTCTTACTGGCTCTTGTCATCTACAGGGATACCGAAGCACCAAGCAATACAGGGGTAGCCATGGCGGACTTGCCCAAATGGGGATGGAACCTAGCCATGACATGCCATGCCAATTTCAGGGGAAAGATGGCAAGCGTTTATGGTGGTGATTTTCTATGATTTTATGGTATAGATCTATTTTATTAAAGTCTATGATCGATTTTATGGTAGTATACAGTTTCATTAGTGGTATCCCCCAATGATTGGAGGTGCGTTATCTAATTCGACGAATCTTTTGATGGTGGGTTTATGGTTGAAAATCATCTATAAGCGAAATCAAATGGGATTTCATGGGAATACTGTTTGGTGGTTTCAAACATTTTTCATTTTCCATAGTATATGGGATAATCCTTCCCATTGTCTAATATTTTTAGATGGTTAAAACCACCAACCAGGTACACAATGGGGATGGAAGAAACACACCATTTAAGTGACAACAATGTAGGGATTTGGCTGGACAGCACTTGGAATCTGAAATTCTCTCAGAATTGAGTGGACGATTGAGATCGGAAGCCTCCCATTGTCCGTGGGAAAATTCAGGATGTCATGTATTATTTTCCCAAGAAAACCAAATCCAATGAATTTCCTGACTTTCTATAGATGATACATCATTTTCATATATTTTCTATATAGCAGCATATAGCGTATGATCATATGATCCTGTATTTTCCCGGGGATTCTTGCTGGCGCAGGTGTGGATCAGTCTGATGATGATCTTTGGAGGCGAGCGCGGCGAGCGGGGCTGTCAACCGAATTAGTTGGTTGAAAGAACTAGGATATAATATATATATATATGTATTATATATATATGGTAGATGTGTTATAAACTTGATATAACTTGATATGTGAAATGACATACCAGCTTTTATGGTAGATATTACTTGATATCACTGCGGTTAGATGGGATTTATAAACCAAGTTATAACTGGGGCCCCAACATGGCACCGTTGTAATTTCCGGTCAGATACCCTCCAGTAAGTTCCCAGATCAGATTATCGTTGGCGCTTATAAAGTTTGTACAAGGTGGTGCCCCTCCAGTTATAAGTCCGGCTCTATCTAAAATCATGGCTTTTCTTTTCTGTTTCGAGTACTGTACCTTTCTATTCTCTTCCATTCAGCTTGTTGTCTGGTTCACTTTTGGCTTTGTTTTCTTTTCTGTTTCAGTTTGCTTTTTTGTTCTGTTTCACTTTGGTTTCTTGTTTGTTTCACTTTGGTTTCTTTTCTCTTCCACTTTGCTTGTTTCTCTCTTGTCTATTTTGCGTTGGTTTCCTTTTGTTTTACTTTATTTCATTTCTGTTTCACTGCTTTCTTATTTGCTTTTCTGTTTCACTTTATGTTTCACTCTTCTCCTCCACTTTGCTTTCTTTTCTGTTTCCCTTGCTTCCTTTCCAGATCCATTGTGCTTTTCTTTCCATTTTGCTTTCTTTTCTGTTTCACTTTGTTTCTATTCCACTTTTCTTTCTTTTAAATAGCCATGTATTGTTCAATTAATAGCATCGTTAATTGGAATATACCCTCGACTTTGGTATATGTTAATACCATTTAATACTATTACTATAGTAGAATACTATTTCTATATTTCTATAGTATTGTAGATTATATTTCTATTTCTATATTTTAATATATTTCTATATTTCTATTTCTATACTATAGTAGAATATGTTCGCCTTTGCTTTCGACCTTTGCTGTTTCACTTTGCCGCCCTTCGACGATTCGACGACCCTCATGGCTGCCCAGCTGCGCTCTGCCCTGTGCCGACCTGCTGGGGATGACCCTGGGGGACCCCAAAGCATCGAGCTTGGGATACCCCCATGACTTTGGAAACCTTATTATATATATACTTATATATATACTTATATATATATACTTTTATGTATACTTATATTTATATACTTATATATATATATATACTTATATATATATATATACTTATATATATATACTTATGTATATATACTTATATATATACTTATATATACATACTTATATATATGTATATACTTATATACTTATATATATATATATTTATATATATGTATATATATATAATATACATGAATAGCTACATAATATGTATTCATGAACACCCAAGTTAACGACTTAGGGCACCATTGTTTTATCGCTTCGAGGCGTCATGTTGGTGGGTGTGGAGGCTGCGAAAGAACTCTATGCCAACCAGCGATTTCACACCCTACCGCGGGAGCCGCCGCAAGAGTTGGGTGGAAGATTTGGAGAAGTTGTGGGGTTTAATGGTGGTTTAATGGTGGTTTAATGGTGGTTTAATGGTGGTTACATCAATCGATTCAATCCCCAAATCAAAGCTACAGAAATACACAGACAATCACAGATACATATTCAAACAAAAACAACTTCATTCGAACTACAGGTCTGTCAAAAGCTGCTGACTTTGCCTTGAATCAATCCTTAAATCGAACCCCCGTAATTTTGTTACTTCAATCTCCCTACGTTTGACTGCGAATGACGGGCATCCGGAGGAGATGATGCGACGCTCCATGCAGATGGGTCTCTTGACCCCAGGGATTGGCCAGCCAATCAATGGAATAATCTGGGATATACTGGAAGTAGCTAGCAAAATATGGAACATGTTGAAATGATCATCATTTTGGAAAGGCGTTTTTGGTGTTTTTTTGTTTCTTTTCCTAATTTTTTTGGGGGGGTTGCTATAACATGTTTTTCTGGACATGAATCCTGCTAGACATATGCCTTGACTTTTTCATGGGAATCCCAGTGGAAAACGTGCCGTTTCGGAAGGCTCCCGAAATTTGGGTGCTATCCGACGTAGACGGAGTATAACCCTCGCTTGGTATCACCAATATATATATATATATATATATACAAATACTTATATTATACACTTATATATACATATACTTATACTTATATATACATATACTTATATATGCATATACTTATATACATATACTTATATATATATATGTACTTATATATGCATACACTTATATACATATACTTATATATACACGTTCTTATATATACATATACTTATATATATATACTTATATATACATATGCTTATATATATATATACATACACACTTATATATATATATACTTATTTATATATATATGGCTTACATCACCATTGAAAAGAGCTTGAAGCATCGTTCCAAAACAAAAACAACACTCGAAAAAAAGAGCTACCACACTTGGTATCAGAATATCATGAAATTTACTTGTAAAATAGTTTCTCCAACATTGACCAACATATTCATCAACATCAAGGCACTTTTTATAGTAAGTCTACATTCACGGCCCATCAATTCCTCCATCCCAACGGCCCACGGCCGTTGTTGAGGCCAACGGCTGAGCATCTTGGCCTACGACGTGGTGGACTCGCGCGAGGAGGTGAAGATCGTGCTGAGCGGCGTCTCGCCGTTGTTGGCCGAGGTCTTGTGCTCCTCCTCGGCCTTGGAGGTTGGATGGGGAGATGGGGAATGAACTCATGGGGATATCATGGGGTTTAGTTTTTGTTGTAGCCTCTGTTTATGTTGTAGTGTATCCCCAAATCCACGGCTTCATCATATGAATGGTGAATCAATGATAAATGGATTACCCTCTGGTAAACTAATCACTAACTATTGAAGCCATGGCTAATAGAAATAGTCGATTTACCGAACTTAATAGCATGGTGCTTTTTCCATAGTTTTTTGCAAAGGTTTACCAGAGGGTAGATATTGTACCTATTGTCTAATCATCTGCAAAGGGTGTTATCCATTATTTGTTATCGATTATATTAATTTGTTATCTGTTATTTGTTGTCTATTATCTATTAGATACTCATGGGGTTTATAATATATCTATCATCTACTAACTAATGATTATATCTATATGAGTATGGTTTGTTCCCCTCCATGGGAATCTATGGGGATTAATAATTGGGGATCAATAATAGAGATATATAGAGATTATCCACTAAACTATCAAAGTCTATGGGCATATCACAATAGATTCTCGAGTGAGTACTAATGATACAATACTAATGATTTTATGGGGTTAATATAGATAGTGTATCTATGATTGGTTATCTGCTATGTGTTATCCATTCTCTATATTATCTGTTATCGGTTATAGAAAGGTTGTTTGTTACCCATTATTTGTCATCCATTATTTATTATCTATCAGCTATTGTCTAGATATATTTACATATCTTATGGATGTGAGGGCGTATCTAGGCTATGAGATGGGATGATATGTTATGTACCAGGGATTTGGATGATAAGGTTGGAATTAAGGGCTGAAGATACATGATGGAGGGGGAGGGGATTGGCAGAACATGAAATGATGTCAAGCTTAAGTGGCAGTCTTACAGTGTCAAAATGCCCGACTTTGAAGCCATATCCGCGGAGTTTGGGTTGCCTGGTTGCCTGAGCCAAGTCTATGTCTTGTGGAAACTGGGATATCAGATGTCTGGTCTCATCAGTCCTCCCAACGACAGGCCTTTTGCGTAGTGGCCAACGAAGTTCGACGATTACTCGGCTACAAGGATGACGATGAGGAAACAGACGACAGGCCCCGAGTAATCGTCATGACGCTCCGTTGCTCGGGGTTCTACAGAGATTTCAAGGATTAGCTTCTGGTAAACATGGTAAACTAAGATAGCTATGGAAAGTCATCATTTGTTAGAAAAAAAATAGATCATATATAGATTGTATCAATGGACCGATTTCATCCAATTTTCAACAGCTCTGTTAAAGTACCAAGTATACAAAAAGTACCAAGTACCAATGTGTGTTTGGTAAAGTCCAATTTGTTTCTGGGAGGTTCAATATGGATCTGTGTCTGAAAATGGTCATGAAAATTATGGGAAAATGATGACAAACCCATTTTGTGGCCAATGAGTTCTTAGAGCACGAGTTTTTTCAATGTGAAGTGCCGGGGCTTGGGAAACTGTAACCCCCCAAAAAACTGAAGTTCGCTAATTCAGTTGTAACATGTATAAAATGGTAAATAGCACCGTTTCTATCTTATTTTTGGGTCTTATTTGTGTATGTTTCTCTATATAAATGTCCTATTTGGATCATCTTAACCGTTGCCAAATTGGTACTGCTTCCCTTAATGGTTGGGTGATGTTCAAATGGAACCAGGTTCATCCGATGTCTACCAGTTACGGATTTTGTTGTGTTGTTGTTTGCTACTTTTGTTCACCATTTGACGGGTAAGCACCAAACAACCAGAAAATTGGGTTGAAGAACATCCCAATGTAGACTATTCAAGGATGTACCAGGAATATGATATGTTATGACCATTTCCATATGGATGTGTGTCTGAATAGAGGGAACTAACACCCAAATGGCAATTTATATAGGGATACCCTCTGGTAAATTAACATAGACCCTGAAAATGACCAATTTATAGTGGAAACTAGTCTTCCAACCCCTATCTGGCAGGGTCTAGTTAATTTACCGGAGGGTAAATAGTTTTTATTTTTCAGAAAATCAGACACTGTATTTAGGGCACCTATTTGCAGACAAATCCATGGGAGGTTGGCCACGGCTGTGGGATGGCTTCAACGACCGCAGCTGATGTTGGGCTTTGAGGACCGGGGCTGTGTCATCAGAATACGACGGATGATGACCATGTAATCGCCATCACAAGATACTTATAACATCTTATAACATTATATGAATGGTTACATATGTTGCATTATGTTGCGTGAGTATTTAACAATATTTAACATATACGTATGTGTATATATATATATATATGCACATAAATTTATTATACCTATATATGTATGTATATATTTATATATACATAGAACTAACTATCCAATACTCCTAGATGTATTCCGTTGCATTTTCGAGCTCACCTTCGGATGATGCCTGGGAATTCACTGCGACACAAGTACGTTTTGTTTCTGAAATCCTCATTTGGGGGGGTGAATACAATGGTTTGGGCCCACAATTGTCACTTCAACCTTCTTTCCTACTATCTGCTGGACCCCCGCATTGAAATTTCAACATACTAATATCGTTGAGTAGTTGTTAACCACTAACATCACCAAAAATGAAATTTGAGTCCAGCTTAAACCACATATTCTCTTAATTTGGCCACCATTTTTGGTTCATTTCTTTTCCCGGTCAGGACCAGCTGCGCTGCTGCGCCCTGGCACGCCAAGCCACCAAGGGCGACGCGCCCAAGGCCACGGTCCCTGAGTCCGAGCAGAGCTTCAGCGCGGCGCAGCAACGGAGCTGGGAGATGTGCCGCGGCATGGCCAAGGCGCTGGCCACGGCGGGAGGAGGTGTGGAGCTATAGGAAGTTCTGGTTGTAATTCTTGGAGATGGGGATATGATCCCATGATATATATTTTGGTTATATTCATATTTATATCCATCATTAATATCCCCATGGATTAGTAAATCCATAGAAAATAAATATGATGTTAGTAAATCCATAATAATTAGTATATCCCCATATATTTGATATGATAATGATATCATGGGATGGAGAAAAGTATATGAAAGTCAACCGTTCATCGGGGTTCTAAACCAACCAACTTATGGGATTCATGGGGATTCATGGAGACAGAAATTCCGAAATCAAACGTGGTTGCCCGGCCTGGTAAACTAACAGTTTGCTATTGAACATGGTGATTTATAGTGGAATTACCCATTAAAAATGGTGGTTTTCCATGGTTTTCCATAGTTGCGTTAGTTTACCAGAGGGTAACTGTATAAGTGATTACAAATGGAGGTTTTTAGTTGCAAAAATCATCCAAATACACTACACGGTGGATTTTTCATTGCCAGTTAAAAAGTAAAACCTCTTGGCAAGTTGCATTCTAAACCTTTGTAGTTCTCTTGGGGGGCAATTTCTTTTGTCCTGAGTTGAAACATGTTGAAACTAATGTTGAAACCCATTGTTTTGTTGTGTGTTAAGGAACATTGTTGTGCAGTGATTGGACCTGGAGTAATAACAATACTAAGTTGAAATACAAACCACGCCAAATATGTTTTTGGCTGAGTATGGTTGGGTCATGTTTTGGTCCAGAAATTTGCGGGTCGGAGTCGAATATTGTGGAAACTTTTTCCAACCAGATCTTTGGACTCACCAACGATCTACGGTGGGGCACAGATTTCTAACACAGACATGTTGTTTGCTGGCTTACCCTCTGGTAAACTAACATAACTATGGAAAATCACCACTTTTAATGGGTAAATCCACTATAAATGGCCATTTTCAATAGCAAACTGTTAGTTTACCAGAGGGTACTTCGGGTGACGTGTCATTAGCTCCTTAGATATCAGCTCCATTTCTGATCCTGGGGAATTACCGTAGCCTCTGATCTCCCACAACACTTTACAAAAATGGTCTGCTGTTTGTTCTCAACCCCCATCAGCAGGCCCAAGATGTTGCCGCCCGAGCTATAATTAAGTTGGTTTATAAACCCCATTCACATCCATTAACTATATAGTTCTACTATAGTTGTATCGACCACAAACCATAGTTACCCTCCGGTAAACTATCATAACTGTGGAAAATCACCACTTTTAATGGGTAAATCCACTATAAATGGCCATTTTCAATAGCAAACTGTTAGTTTACCAGAGGGTACTTCGGGTGACGTGTCATTAGCTCCTTAGATATCAGCTCCATTTCTGATCCTGGGGAATTACCGTAGCCTCTGATCTCCCACAACACTTTACAAAAATGGTCTGCTGTTTGTTCTCAACCCCCATCAGCAGGCCCAAGATGTTGCCGCCCGAGCTATAATTAAGTTGGTTTATAAACCCCATTCACATCCATTAACTATATAGTTCTACTATAGTTGTATCGACCACAAACCATAGTTACCCTCCGGTAAACTATCATAACTGTGGAAAATCACCACTTTTAATGGGTAAATCCACTATAAATGGCCATTTTCAATAGCAAACTGTTAGTTTACCAGAGGGTACTTCGGGTGACGTGTCATTAGCTCCTTAGATATCAGCTCCATTTCTGATCCTGGGGAATTACCGTAGCCTCTGATCTCCCACAACACTTTACAAAAATGGTCTGCTGTTTGTTCTCAACCCCCATCAGCAGGCCCAAGATGTTGCCGCCCGAGCTATAATTAAGTTGGTTTATAAACCCCATTCACATCCATTAACTATATAGTTCTACTATAGTTGTATCGACCACAAACCATAGTTACCCTCCGGTAAACTATCATAACTGTGGAAAATCACCAGTTTTAATGGCTAAATCCACGAAATAAATCACCATTTTCAATAGCTATATCTGTTAGTTTACCAGGCCGGGTACCATGATTTCGCCGCCAGGCTGAAGCCTCTGAGGCATTGCTGCAGGAACTTGCGGATAAAGATCCCACCTTTCGCAAGGTTTCGGACTGGGTGCAGGAGGATCCATGAAAATCGTGATGATTTAAGTTGCTTCCAAGCATGATCCATTTCTATGTTGATGTCATGATGTCATAGGGAGAAAATGGGGTAAACATTCCATTTGTTGATTTGAGATGTAGAAAATGGGGGTTGGCTATACCACCACTTCTGAATTTTGGATGCCAATGACCCCCATCATGGAGGTTTTAACCTTCCAAAAGATGGCAACATGTGGGTTTCCTGTACCCTTTTTTCCATAGTTCAACTAGGTGTGCAGTTTCCACATAGAAAAAGTGGCTTCTACACCGATCCAATTTTAATAGATACTTATAAGACACATATAACTGGATTTTGCTATGGTGGTTAAGCAACCATATATCCAATGTTTAACCCGTAAATAAGACACATATGTATATACATACAACGTCTATCAATGTTCAATTTCTAACACATAGCCTCTGGTAATTTAACAGTTTGCGATAGAACATCAAACTATTTTTTGTCAGTACAGTAAATCGTCTATAAATATGAGCCATTTCCATGTCATGGTCAACACATGAGTTGTTTTCCCTTAGAAGGGATTGGTCATCAATGGTTAGTAGGGATTTGTATACGCAAGATCCCAATATTCCCCCATATGAGATCGATGCATAACCCATATACAATGCTTTGACCATGGAACATCCAGAACCCCAAAAAACCGGGTAAGTTTGCCGTCGGCTTCAGCCTCCTTCAGTTCCGCAGCCACCACTGTAGGTGGTTCCACCTGCAGCTCCGGAAGCCGTACCAGAGAAGCCATTGAACGATTTTGTTCAGGCGGAGCGGAGCTGAGGAACTAAAGTGATAGGGCAATTTTGGGGGGAGTGAGAATGGGATACCCTGAATATCCCTGAATGGTAGTCACGGCTGGAACCAAAGCAAAAAAAAAAAGTGAATGGAGGAGTGGCAAAATCATCTTTAAGCTTATATGGGATTTTTACTCTATTTATAGGATAGACAACGGGTATTAAACTCTATCACTTGAAACTTTGGCATGGCATGTCAGGATACTATGGGATTTTACAATAGATACATCGATCTATATAGTTCGTGCGGCTTATAAACCAATTTTATTGGGATCACATGGGTCAGCAAACATGGCTGGCTGGAAAATCCCCAAAGTAAAAAGATGTTTTAATGATTATTGTAATGGGAAAATCATCCACACATGGAATAAGGTTTCTAGCACACAATGTTTGATTGCCGCCAGAGGGTATGTATGTCCCATCCCCCTTAGTATTAGATGCCCCCAATATGCCAAAATACCCAAAATAAACAGATCCAATACTGTACTACACCAGAGTTTCAAAGGTGATAATCCCCTCATCCTATTACTAAACCCCCCAAATACTAAAAACTAGGGTCCACGTTAAATTTTGGGAAATTTCCCACTGGCCAATTTGATTTTCAATTGATTCCCGTTGAAAAACAATTTATATAACAGTGAAGGCCCCATTTGTGGGTTTCACCCCTAATAACAAACTGGTCAACCCCAGGGCCCAGGGTGTTCTTTATTAGGGTCCGTTTTGTAAGTTCGAAAAAAAAAAAGTTTTCTATATTAAGGTTTTATTTGATTTTATCTGAGGGGAAAACTTCGAAATCAATTTTTTGGCAATATTTTTATTGTAGGTTTTGAAAGGAACCTTAATTGATTTTGAAATAGAACATTTTGATTTTTTATATCAAGGTTTTTAATTATAATATTAGGGGAAAACTTCGAAAACCAATTTTTGGCAATATTTGAATTAGGTTTTAAAAGGAATTCTAATCGATTTTGAAATAGACAATCTGATTTTTTTGTATTAAGGTTTGTAATTTAATATTAGGGGGAAGCTTCGCACCCTAATACTAAATACGTCCTAATACCAAAAACTCCAAGTGTTTATTGTTCAGGGGGGCGTTTTTAAAATTGGGAAGAAGGGATTCATCGGATATCATACAGACGTTAGTGATATGGTCATGGTTGGCATTGCGCTCTGAGTCAGCCGGAAAGCACACTGCCTGAGAGCCAGTAGATTCGCTTAGTACTTGCATCTCCTGTTAGTTGAACATGCCCCATATGTTGGTTGGTGATCGCATTGTTGTTGCTTAATCAGTCCTCCTTTCGATGAATTTCAAACATACATATTCCCGTATTTTTGTCAGTTTGCATCCTAATTTTGGTTGCAAAACTTATTAGTTTATATCATTGTATAGCCCAGAAGCACACCTCCCGTCTATCTTGGTTCGCAAAGAACATCTCTTAAAAAAAGGGGTTAAATCCAAATTTCTCCAGCATCATCTTCCCATTTTCGCTAAGCAGGGTGATGACGGTGAAGCTTCATAACCCGCTTGTAGACCGTTAGTAAAGTAGGGGGCAAAGTGAACTATGTAACTGGATCATTCCATAAACGGCAAATTCATGTTAGTTCCATATCATTCCCAGCGACCCTACATTCAATGGATTGGTTTAAGGGAAAATTTACAGGAAACCCCATATTTAGTGAGAAAATCTATAGTTTCCTGTAGATTTTCCCTTAAACCAATCCATTGATACATTGTTTTCCACGTGGTTTCCCAGGTCTTCTGTGAACTCTTCGAATTCCGCCTTCCCTCGGACCTGGATGCGCGCGCTCTGAAGCTGCGCAAGCGCGCCTTCTGGGCCTCGCTGGCCGTGGTCTTCTACGCCGTGGTCTGGCGCCACTGGGTGCGCCGGAAGCCGCTGACCATTGTCCGAGCGGTCACCAATGCGGGCGTGTCCACCCTGTGGCTTGGAATGGGGACTGGGCGATGTTTAAGAAGCACCATCCCCAAATTTATCATATGTTGATGGGTGGTATAAAGCATCAATTGAATACTATTTAATCAGTTTATATGGGTGGTTGATGGTTGCTAACAGTACATGGTTGGGTCTAACAGTACATGGTTGGGTGGTTTGGGCACAAGTAATCAGCTGACCGATGAAATGTCCCATTTCAGCGATGTCAAAAAGGACCATATCTAGTTGCTGACCATTGGTCCAAGTGACAGAGCTTGAGGGGAAAACTGCGAGAAAAAACTGACAAAGAAATGGACTAAGACAGATTGGGGATATGATGATATGAAGACCAAAACATCAGGACATATTTCATCATCATACTTATACATGTTTCATTTTTGATGACCTCAACCTCAACATATATATATATATGAATACATATATGAATACATATATATATATATATATATATATGGAAGTATCCATGTATTATATATATATATATATGGATGATCACATCTATCAAAACATCAACCATGACTGTATCGTCCATTTCACCTTGCCCCGGTGGCCCAAGGTCCTATTTGTCTGAACATGTGGTACCCCTCCTATTTGCTGGCCATAGATTCCATAGATGGGGTCAATTTTCTTCATTTTCAGACCCAAATAGTTATCATTGGTTATATATATCCCATTCATAAAGAAAAAACTTGCATCTCATTAAAGCCAAAATACCCTTTGTATAGCGATCCATATTGTTATCACCTGAAATATCCCAGATCTTTGGCTATGCCAATTGAAAACAAATTCTAACCCATTTCCCTGCCTTAAGTCAATGGGAATTCCAGGATCCTAAAATGGAGAAGGCCATTGATTAAGGTCCACCTATTTGGCCATCCTGAATCTGGGTCTTCCCGCGCCCATCTACGCCCGTCTGCACGCGCGCCTCCCTGCCTGGCTCCGCAGCGCTGCCGGAAGCAACGAGTTGCCGGGCGCCGCCGGGCGCTTGCTGCGCTGGCTGCTGCAGCTGCTACTCCCGCGCCATGGCGGAAGGGGTGGAAATGGGCCCAGCCATTCATTTTAGATGGGGGGATTCCAGGACATGTATCCTGACATGGGTATTTCTTAATATTTCTTATGTATAGACTGTATAGATCATAAATATATCTGGATATATCTGGTATATTGAGGGATATGTCATGGAATAATTATTGCGGTTGCAATGAACGAGTGGATCTGCACGTTGACTTCCTGGATAAGATGCCACTTGACGGAGTAACTGGCTGAGAAGGCAAGCTCACAACATCGGCACAGCTTTCCAAAAGATCTTCAGCTGCCAAATAGGGTGCAAACGACTGCTCAAAACCTCATGGCCTGATGGCATAGAAAGTGCCCCAATCCAGCGTAGAGGCGTAGAGCATCGTAGAGCCATGTTGCAAACTAGAAATTTCACTGCGCTGCCATGTCGTCACCTTCATTCATGGTCATTACCTGTCAAAGACAAGCAACTGTGGATCTTGAATGAACAATGAAAACTATGAAAGCCCTGCCACGCCGAGGTACATCAAACAAGTTATCGAGAAATCTCACGTTGCAACGTCAAAGGCACTAAAAAACCGCTGGTCCCGCAGGAGCCCCGCAAGCCGCAACGAAATTGACCCTACAACCGTCACGGCAGAAATGCTACACTTCAAGGCGATGAACATGTTCATTTTCACCTCAAAAACATGGTGTTTGCTCAGACCTTGATCGATGTGAAGCTATGATGAGACACTTTCAAAGAACTGCACAAACAACTTCAAAAGTGCAGCAAACCTGCGCGGCTTACCCAACATGCTGCAACCACCAATTAGTACTCAAACAGCGAGGGCAATACTGGGAGTAGAACCTGCAAAACTGGGGGGTGTCCCCACAAAAAAAGGTTTTGTCCTGCATTGATTTTTGCTGTCTATGCTTCGTCAGACAATTAAAATGACCCCCAAGCAGCAAATGTCGGAATGGTTGATACAGTGGGGTTAAATGTACGTAGGTTAATGCTCACGAAAGTTATCATTCTTGATACCTTTGCTAGTGACTAGTGTTTTCATTCTTGTTGGTTCTATACTCCGTTCACCCTCCAGTAAATTGACAAAGTGACTCCGAAAACGCACCATGAATTCTATGAATAGTATACAATCTATCTATCTAATCTATCTATCTATCTATCTATCTATCTATCTCTCTATCTATCTATCTATATATATATATATATATATTATGTATTTCAAATATATACATAATGTTCATTGGGTCTCCAATAGGTTTTATATTGATTTGTCAAATTACTAGAGTTACTAGAGGCTTGGTTGTTTTCAAACCAGATGTGGTCTATCATTATATCCTTATCTGTTGCTGTCAAACCTCATGAATGTAGGGTTTAACCTGTTGCATGTAAACCATGTATCTCCCGTCTTTCTTCCGAACCTATGGGCTTTTTAATTTTTGGATAGATTATCACTATTTGCGGAGGGATCCTCCTAATTAGTCACCCAGGGTTTATCAATCCAGGGTCGACATTACGTCAGTGCTGGTTCTTGATATCACCCTGTTAATTAAATCTCTGGGTTCTTGGTTTGGGTGATCATCGCCGTGAAACCGCGCAAGACAACTTTTTTGTTTTAATATCTTAGGCTGGTTGGTGGTTTGGAACATGTTTTATTTTCCCCAATAGTTGGGAATAATAATCCTAACTGACTTTCATATTTTTCAGAGGGGTTGAAACCACCAACCAGCTTAGGTCTCCGTTGAGCTGTTTCGTTTTGCTTAGGATCATGCTGATGAAAAAATGCATGTCAAGGTTTGCACCCGGAAATCTCCCAGGCCCTTACGCCGTCCACTGATGATCACTGCTGGTGCCCCATGATGGGAAGGCACCTTTTCGTAGACAGTATGTTCTTCATGGAATTGGGTTATTGTTGTACCAAACCTCGAAGACGTGTCTTGAGAGTGGTAAAAAGAGTCAAATGTCTTTGATTTGTATTGAGTTGTTGGGTGCAATTAGACATACTGTGTGTGATAATGATAGTATGAATGATAGTATGATCATTGTATCCATTTTGTTTCATGAAAAAACTATGTCCACCTACCTTAGGTGGCAGAATTTTCACGTAGCTTCACTGTTTTGCCGCTGTGGAATACCCCGTCCCAGCACGCACGCAACCGTTCGACCATTGCGACACGTGTCTCGGGCGACCTTTTGCTAAGCGTTGTGCACAGGCCGCAGATTTCCTGGCCCTTGAGCCACATAGATTGTTTCAAAAAAGGGGAGAGAGACGATCGATTTTTGGTATGACATTATGGTCGATTTGTGGTTTGCGAACATGTCAGTGACCCGTGATCATATGCCATGATGACCCCAATACACGCAGAGAAATCAAGGGCAAAAACGATGCAATGCCGACCTCAAGTTCCACATGTGATGGTTCAAGTCGGGAAAGACATCAATTTCATGCCCTGAAATTAGTTATTTACTGTGGTTCATGACTATAACTAAATTATAACTATCAATGTGTGTTGAAACTGGATGAAATCTGCTCAAGATGATCCGTTGAGTTGATGGTTGGAACCTTTGGTGAACCTTTGGCTCAGCCATTTGGCATGAAAATGCTTCGATGTCATAAAGCTACCGGCATGGTTGGGAGGATTTTTTTTTATTTTTCTGAACCATGTTCTGAACTACACTGAATAGCGTTCAGCTTTGTTTTTGACTCACCCTTGACCGCCACGGAAGCGCCACATGTTGTTTCCTACTGCGGCCTGCGCCTCAATATGCCTCAATTCAACCCGACGGATCGCGGATTTGAAGCCGGCGTTTCAGCGGCGGCAGATGTCTATAGAATTCTATAGATCACTGATTGGTGACTGGAACCATGGAATGGATTATGACTTTCCCATCATATTGGGAATGGAATAATCATCCCAACTGACGAACTCATATTTTTCAGAGGGTTTTTGTCAACCACCAACCAGTATAGATCTCTAACTATCCCACCAGCTGAAGTTACAAGTAGTATGCCATGTGGTATGCAAACCTATAGAAACCAGGTCAGAACATGTGACAACCCGGAGGATCATCCCAGCTGAAAGCTGTCCCTTAGGATCATCGACATTTTGGGATCCATGGCACACCATATATATATATATATAGCATACATGGATCCTATGGGTAATAATAATGATCATACGTAATTATATATATATATATATCTTCAATATACCATATATATATATATATATATAAAATATATATCTTCAATATACCATATATATATAATATATATATATATATGTATGTATGTTTGCATGTTTTTTTGTTCGGAACAAGAAAAACAGGATTCAGCCCTGCATTGGCAAGACAAGGCGGCTTCATCCATTGCCCGCCGCTTGGAGCACCGCCCCCGACCGCGGCAATGGCGCGTTTGTTTTCCCAATCTGTTTGGATTTCTTTGGGCCCAAGAATCCCAGTTTGAGTGCCTCGAAGCTGCTTGGAATGGTGCAAAATGAGGGATCAAGCGATCAAGCCCCCAGTTTTGGGGATTTGAAGTCATGCTTGATTGATAATATGATAATGTCCTTTCTGGTATTGCGTTGTTCGATCTCGAAACAATCTCCTGGGTTGGGTTCCAAAGACCTCTCACAGTTCCCCAGACAGTTCACACATGAACAACAATAAATGCGCTGCCAAAAAAAACAAATAGGCGGGGGACTGGGAGCGGGGTGTCTTTGGAGGAGCAATGCAGTCTTTTTGTCCTCCAGTACATTAGCAAATACCCTCCATGTATGGAATGGTTCCCTACATTTGGGTCAGTGAGAGGATAAATGTTGGTAAATATTCCATACATGGAGCATTGAGCATTGATATGGAAATCACCCCCCATGGTTTCCACCTTGATGCTGACATTTCATAGTTGAAGTCCACATAAAGAATCATGCTGGAGGCATATCCCACCACTTGCCAGGAAAGCTGAGGTTCTGAGATGGACCTGATGAAGGTTGGTAGCATGTCGAGAGTCTTAAAACTATCCTGGAAAGTTCTTGCTGGATTTTCGGATTGAAAGCCTGATAGAATTTCTTTGCGACCTCCAATGGTGATTGATGATAGGGGAGGATACCAGGATACTGTCATATTCTTGTAAGGAATATGTCAAATATCACAAAAGATAAAGTAAAACATCCCCCTTGACCAACCATGCATAAAAAAAAACTAGAAGGGTTGTTGCCAGTGCTTATGTGACAACTTTCAAGGGTTAGTCATTCGTTGACACTTGCTTGTTCTGGATATTTCGCTGGCACAGGTGTATTGTTGATGTCTATATAAGTCTAAGGCCTTTGATTGGTTGTTTAAGATATCCAAAAACACGGGGATTGCTTGTTTTACATACCCGGTATAGGTGTCATCAGTTCCGTGGCCCCCTAGGTCAATGGTGTTGATGGGAAAACCATCCTGCTGGGCGATGTGAAAAATTATGAAAAATTAACATGTCTGATTTACTAGAGGGTACCCTCTGGTGAACTAACATAGCAATGGAAAATCACAATTTTTAATGGGAAAACTCACTATAAATGGCCATTTTCAATAGCTACGTTAAATTACCAGAGGGTAACCTTTCTAAAATTGGGGACATGTTTTCAAGTTTCTGTAGAATTAATATATATGGTCGCTGATATCGTATGTCGTCAACCTTGGACCTAGCGATCTTAAAGTAGTTTTCAGCCGTTGAAGCAACTGGTTTCCTGTTTGCAAATTATCTGCTCATGTTGCCCGGACTAGTTTCTATCCTGAATTCCAACTAGTTTCCTCTTGAAATAGCGAAAGAGAAAACTATTTCTGCTCCTTCGTGGAGAACTTCGTTGCTGGAGACGTTGAAACCAATTAGGACGGCCGTTGTCCCAGATGCTTCCGAAAATCAGCATTTGGGAAGTACCCTCTGGTAATGACTAACATAGCTATAGAAAATCACCATTTTTAATAGGTAAACCATCTATAAGTGGGCCATTTTCCATAGCCATGTTAGTTTACCAGAGGGTATTTTCTTGGTTGCTGTTGGTTCAGATTCATATTCCCTGCATGGAGTATCTGAGTCCAATGACTAAATTGATAACTCGGTGGTTTATTTCTGTAGTCTTATTGTCCCAAGTATCAGAAATGGGTAAATACAGTATACCGGGGTATACCGGCTCCTGGTTGAAGGTATCTGGAAGTTAGACATGAACATTCCCATGTTTTTTGTTTGGTTATGTCAATCCTTAATGGTGGAACAATTTCAGGAACCCCCGAAAAAATTGAGGGTAAAATTCAATGGTCTCATAGACATTTTCCGTAAAACAATCCATTAAAACCAGTTTAAACCATGGTTTCCTGTAGATCTTCCATGATTTTTCTATAGATGTTCCGTTAAAACTACGGTTTTTCTTATGTATGTCTTATCCCCATAGCACCGATGGTTTCCAAAGAGACATCGGAGTCAACTCTCAGCAGCGCTGAGGTCTGCATTAACGACTATGTGGGCAAGGCCGAGAGATGTTTTGGAGGGGGATGCATGCTCAACTATGGTTCATGATGCTTCATGATGGTGAATGATGCTTAATGATGGTTAATGACGGTTGATGATGGTCAATGATGGTTGATGATGGTTGGATTGGGGGATGGATAGAAAGTACCATATTATCCCATACGATAGCCTTGGTATTTCTGTTTATAACAATGGGATACACCCATGATATAACTTTCCACAATGGGATAAATCTGGGTAAATGATAGTGACCTCACGTCGTGACCGAACCCTGGAATCATGGTGAATATATAGGGGAATCAACCCCAAATGGCCGCAAGTTTCAGGTTAGTGAAATACTTAATTTACCAAGTTTGGATGAAGTAAATGATGGTTGATAGATGTTAATAATTACATCAATGGTGAGGAACAATATATGGTTTTGCTTTGGATCAATGGGATATTCTGGGATTATCTAGGGGAAGAAAAATTATCGGAATACGGTTTCATGGGGAATTCGTTCCTGCGGTGAACGTCGGGCAAAGCTTAAGACTCTCAAATTGGAATGAGAATCTTCGAAGGGATTCTGTGTTTAGGATAGATTATCAGATTATCCAAAGGAGCTTTCTGTAAAAAGTATATACTGCTTGTGAATTGTGAAAACCATTCCCATTGATCTCTCATTGCCAATTTCATTGATATTGTGTTGCGTTACCCTGTGGTTATTTAACATAGCTATGGAACATGTCCCATTTACAGATGATTTTCCCAGCTATAAACCTCCATTTACAACGGATGTTCCATAGCTATCTTAAATAACCAGAGGGTATATTGTGTTATTGCGTTCATCATTTGCCAGGTGGCCTTCCGAAAAATCCCATGGTGGCACTTGATCATGGATTTTCGATGGCCATACATAAAGGCTTAATGGTTGGGATCTATAGCTTTTTGTACCATTATATACTGGTTGGTGGTTTCAAACATGTTTTATTTTCCATTTCATATTAATGGGATGTCATCCGCCAACCATTGACTTTCACTCCATCATTTTTCATACGATGGGTAGGTCAACCACCAAGCGTTGTAGAAAACTCTTCAGATATCAAATTTTAGAAGCCCCATAGTAGACCCCCCAACAATGGCAACATGAAATGAAAAACATGGTGATAAAAAAACATTGGATTTAGGCGTATAGCCATGGAAATTCATCGGATTTCGTTGTGTCTTTTCGTCGCAGTACTACGCTTTCCGGCGTTTGTGCTTGGAGTGTGGCTTGGCGCCAAAAACCCGGAGATTTAGCGCCTCTGGTTATGACTAGCATAGCGATTAGGAAGCCATGACCCATTTACCCTCTGGTTATGTCAAAATAGCTATTGAACATGGCCCATTTATAGTGAGTTTTCCCATTAAAGATGGTGATTTTCCATAGCTATGTTAGT